ATAGTTAAGAAAATGGTGAAGCATACAATTTGAATAGTAAATAAAATCCAAAAAAGTTGGTCTAGCTAGTTCTTAATGCTGAGATAAGCTACTTTAGCCAAGTAAGTTTTCTCAGAATTCTTGATTCAACAACATCTTAGCTGGGTCAGTGAGTCAGTCAGGAACTGCCCAAGAACAATGAGGAACAAATAGAAGATAAAGATATTTTGCTGGGTTTTATATTGTTCAGCTAAGTGACTTTTACATTCTATTCTTCCTCTGATCAATGAACAAGATTATGGAAATTGCGGGCATGGAAATTCTTGTCACCATATACTTTCAGTAGGTAAGAATAGGTAGAACTGTTCCTGCCAGAAGCCTCGTACATTTGCAAAGGGAAGTACTTGTGATATAACTAGAGAAGTAAGAAATGGAACAGCCATCCTTGTCAACTCCATGGGGATTTTAAGAATGGCAAACAAAGCAAAGCCAAGCTTCCTGAGAGTTACTATTGCAGAGAAATGAACAGCCAAAGAACAGAATGGGAGGGCTTATGGACTGCCACTGCCAGTAGCAAAGCAAGAAGTTATACACAGAGTAAACACTGTTTGCTTAAAGTGGCATGGACATCCTGTGCCTACACAGGTGTCTGTAGTATAGTGTTGGCCCATCACCTTTATCTGTTTACTAGCAATGGTTGCCAATATGTATACCCCAGGTCTTCCATCTATACTCAGCTGTTACTATATAGTAGCGCTAGGCAAATAATCTGGAGAGGGCTGGTTATTAATAAAGTTATTAATAAAGTTATTAGAGGACAAAGAAACTTACTTCCCTATTAATACCAGCCCAATACAGAAACTAGACAGCCTAATCAAGAGAACCCTCAACGACCTAACTAAGAAAGGCCAGATCACAAAGGAAGAACAGTGGTGGATGAAAAGCAGTAGACCCATCCTCCCACGCTTCTATGGACGACCAAAAATACACAAGCCTGACATACCGCTCCAACCAATTATATCTTTACCAGGGACTCCAACATACAACATAGCGAAAGAACTGACAAAAAAGCTTGGACACCTCACAGAGAACAGTGAATGTTCTATCAACGTCTCACTACAGTGTCTCCAGAAAATCAAAGACAGTACACATATATGAAG